TCTATTTAATCCCTTTATTATTGTCAACTCAAGCGAGCAAGTCATTTTCTATATTAAATCATTTCAATGTTTTATTTATCTGGCTAAAGGAAAGTTAAGATACTTTATTCCTTTGATCAGAAAAGGGTATAAATTCAAAAGATATATATATATATATATATATATATATACATATATATAAGAGGAAGGTTGTATGTAAACTGTATATCCCTGCCTCCTATATTCCTAAACAATACGAAAAAAAAGACTTATTTACTAGTAATTTTCATCATATTATATAGAGAACTGTCGATAAGGAAGAAGGATAGAAAAACTCACAATTGATTGATCACTAGGTGACCAATGTCATGCGTGTCTAGTCCTTATTATTAGTGCAGATCGAATTCTATCGATCATGTTGCAATGTGGCCACCAGTCTAGGTCACTCGACACCGCTGGGCACTATTGTAAGGTTAGATGGTGGTTGGAGGTAGTGGACAGAAAACCCTGGACCCGAGTTTCGTGCTACTTGGCACTCGTCAGCAAAGTGTACCTGTAATCTTCGAGGGAACTGGTGCTCCCTGGAGGATTCGATCCCATGTCACCCAGCTTAACAGTTAGAGACGTTACCACTGAGATATCCGGGCCGCGGTCGACCTCCTGTAGGACAGAGATGTAATCACATTTGATAGCTCAGTGGTAAGGTTTCTGACTGTGAAGCTGGGTGACATGTGATCGAATCCGCCAGGGAGCACCAGTTCCCTCAATGATTACAGGTACACTTTGCTGACGAGTGCCAAGTAGCACGAAGCCCGGGTCCAGGGTTTCATGTCGACCACCTCCAACCACCATCTAACATTAGGATAGAAAAACTACTTTATCTTAGTCTTGTAATCTTTTATAATAGACACTCCAAACCATTGCTTAGTTATTTAGAGAGTTATTAACTAGAAGGAAACAGTTATTCAATTCTCCTTATTTTCCAACTGTTCTAACATTTTCCGAGTACAATTCGCCAACAAATTAACCAAATACTAAATTATAAATCATAAATTATAGGTGACCTGTAATCATTTTTCGAATTGAAATCTCTTTACCAAAATTTGATCACAATGATGTTAATTTGTTTATCCAACAAATAAACCATGTCCACCATAAATTTTTTTCATCTCATTTCCTTTATTTCATGTACTTACAATGTAAACTAATGACAGATCTTCTTTTTCTCTCTATCATCCTCTCCCTCTCTCTTATCTCACCTTTTGTGCTAAATGTGATAATCGTAGCGAGTGTTGGAAAACATGTTTTATGACTATTTATATATATATACATATGACAAGTTGTCCACAAAAGAGCGTAAATCTTTTTATTTCATTGTTTCATAAAGTTTTAATGATGCTACTTATTCATCACTCTCATATCATCTCCCCTTACCACCTCTAGCATCAGCATCACCAAATACATATAAACATACATAAATTAAGTACACATGAATCTTTCCTTATATTTTTTATTAACCTTATATTAATGTCAAAACACGTGGAATAATGTCTCAGCAGACAGGCTGACATAATCAAGTTAACATAGAATTGAACATTGATGATACTTACACATAAGAATTTCCAATCTTGTCATTTAGTATTAGGTTATAAAATTTTGCTACCTGGTTAAAAGTAAAAATTAATCTGTCAGATTATATAATTTAATTTGACAGGAATTTTGTAATTATCCGTTTTCATTAATGAAACCGAAAGTCTAGTCAATGAATGTAAAGTTGTTTTGTTGTTGTTTTTTTTTCAGGAAATATACAAGGTCAAAATATTCTACAATGTTCATAATTTCAAAATTGATTCATTTTCAAATTTATTTCCTGATAGCTAGCCGCATTGATTAGAAATTAGTTGGATATTACCTTCTACAGAGTAACATTGTTGTTAGCGTTAGTAAGGAAACAAATAATTTGAACTTCAATAGTTAAGATAATGAGTCAGTTGAAGCTAGACCACCATGGAAAATCTGGAAGAACTGGACGGCCGTTTCGTCCTATTGGGGGGCTCCTCAGCAGTGCGCATCAACGATCCCGACCCCCTTCCGCGAGATTCGATTCCATGGTGGTCTAGCTTCAACGGACTCATGATCTTAATCATTGAAATTACTACAATCTCCACAAAACCCCTCCTGATAATAATCAATATATGCTCACTAGTGACTGGCTTCAACAGGTATATACTGCAGTTTTAGTGAGAAGTAGTGACCAGTGGAATTCAACCAGGTCTGTTGTGAGATATCAGCTCACTGAAGACAATGGTGGATGTGTCGCTGAATTTCGTGGATTAGTTGAAGTTAGACATTAACACCGTTGGATGCCGGCCATCTCAGTGGTCTAGTGTTTAAGTGCTCGCGCGCGAAACCAATAGGTCGTGGGTTTGAATCTCGCAGGTGGCGAGGTCGTGGATGCGCACTGCTGAGGAGTCCCACAATAGGACGAAATAATTGTCTATCTTAAATTGACCCATGAATTCAACTACTATAAATATCCAGCTATATGGTTATTTCTGATTATTCTTTCACATTGATTGCTCTTTTCGTTTATTTTCACTGATGGAGGTTTTTCTGATATTTTACGATATAAAGTTCACTTTAATTTTTAATGATTAGTGTTCCTATATTTAGGTTGTAAGTAGCCCAATTAAAACTGAGAAATGAAATGAATATCTGATTCTGCTACATTGGTTATTCTTGCTTTAGTTAAATATTTGGATTTATAGTCTCATTATATGATAGACAGCCAAAAGTGTAAATGAATAACTTAATAATATTTCGTTAAGTTGTTCTATTGTCTAAAGAAGTTCCTATGATGTAAAAGTGTAATAGGTTAATTTGTCTTCAATCAATATTTGGAAAATGACGGTTGTTCAAATTACTCTCTATGTTATCATTTGAGATACCTTTATGAAAGAACCACATGAATGCAGATACGAGTCCTACTCACTGCCTTCTCGTGGCGGGGGTGTTGTTTACAAAAATGAGAGGACGAAAAGCGCTTTAACCGGATCCCAAACCAATGGTGCACATGGGCTGGCTCCAGTATCCTGAGGGAACAAATGGCGTATGAACCAATCGTTGGTCACCGGCTATCATGAGACTGCATCTCCTTATGATGCTCCACTGCCTTGTGGATCACACCTTCAGGTCAAAGGCTCGGGGTGTGGCCCCTAAGAAAACCACCTGTTTTGGTTTGGGCACCCGAGCAGTATCATAGCTCTCACACAAATTAAATGAGATTTGTGTGGCGCATACGTATTTGGTACCAATATACATGTGTTAAAATAAAATAATATAAGAAGAGTATAAATAAAATACTGCAATGCTTTTAATTTAAATACAAAATAGTGGACAGAACACCAATGGGGGACAATCGAATGCATCTAACAACAAATTACAGAACTAGTTAGTAAAATCTAACAACCATATATTAAATGCTCAATTTGAAAAATATCCATCAATTGTCTCAAATGACTTAGAATTCCCTTGTTCCTGCATTTTCATACAAATTACATTCTTTCTTCATTCTTTATTGTTGGATCTTCTCGTCTCTCTGCTGCCAGACATTCTGTTCACGACTCACGTCATATACTATTTATGTTTACATAAGTAGCAAACACCACACTAATATGTATCACTCGTTAATGAAACACTAAACTGTCTAGGATGTTGTCAGTGCTAACAATATCGTTTTGATGTCTAAAGAAAATAAAACAATTAACAACTTAAACTGTTGTCCGAATAATTTGAAATCGTGAAAAGTCAGTTAAAATTTATTTGTGAACAGTAAATTGTAGTTATTGTAGTCCTGGGCAGATTCCATTGAAACTTCTTACCCGTGTAATATCGACAAATGAGCAAAATCAAGTTTCTAAGTTTTTGAAACATCAGAACGAGTTTGATTTCAAATGCTATTGTCTAAAATTTTAATAAAAATGTATTGTTTCTGTAAAATAGTTCCAAATAAGCTTCCATTTCCCGTTTTAGCTTTGATTTCTGAGTAACCTTATGAGACACATAGAATTTGACTTCAGGTTTACTTTATGGATTATTACCCTACTTAAAATTTGCTATCAGATGACTGTGTTTAAAAATATAACACCATTTTATCATCTAATCGGAACTTTCATTTTACATTGATTGTATTTATTCTAAGTAGTAGCTATGGTTATTTCTCCTAATTACTGAAAATCTTTCAGTAATACCACAAAATATGTATAAATTTCTTTGTGACTTTTAATTATGAACCAGTTCATCATGTCACAGATATAAAGTTCGGTTATATTCTATTACTTATTAAAGGATATTAATAAAAATTCATCTATTCATTGATCTTTATAATATTCACTTCCATTTTTCTCATTATTTCCAGTTAGTTAGTTGTATTTTATCCTAGTTAAGTTGTGTCTTATGAATTAGGTATTTCTCATGATGAAGTTTATATTCTATTGTCAGCAAATAATAAGACCTATTATTTGCATATTAGTCTTATTAGTAGAAAACAAGCTCATTTATAAGATTTCCGACTAAACTACTATACAACAGTTTTGTGTTATTTTGGAACACTTTGAGCAACACTTATACAGAACTCAAAACAATCACACTATCAATTATCGACAGAATATGGTTTGAATGACAATTATTTTCCGTATTCAAATATTCAGTGACTAATCATTATATTCACCCTTAATTAATTATAATCTATCGTAAAGTTGGGATACATCGTATAAATAAAAAAGAATCCAATGAAAACCAGTCAAGGGACTATTAAGAAAGCAACAACAACAAAAAAAAAAAAAGAAAAGATTTTTGTGATATTCTGTAAAATACTAATTGTTTCTATGAATAATTAAATAAAATGAATTCGAACAAAAGACAAAACGCATTATGTTGGCGAATAATAATAATAATAATAATAATAAAATCGATAAAAGTAATATCGTATTGTTTATTCGTTTGTTTTATCATATAAATTAATCATTGAAAGTGTCTGTGTAATAAACATGGATTTACATTCACTTATGTCATATCAATGAACCATGGAAATAAATTACAGAATAACAAGAATATAGCTGAAAGTTAACCAACTATTATCATTATTAATTTTGTTTACTTATGTTAGAGAACCATAAACTGATCATACTTAATAATAATAATAATAAATATTTATTTATATACTGAATGGGGGGGGGGTAGATTTTCCTATAGGATTTATTATAAAAATTATGTTCTCATCTATGGAACATCCAAGATCACAGAGTTTGTCAATTTTTTTTTTCTTTTTTAAATAATGAAACGGATTATTTCAGTGTTAGGATATGGTAGAATATTTGGCGCAGTAGCGGTCTTCTTTTTGAAAGAATAATAAAATTAGTATATCATTATGAAGTCAGTATTTGTTTATAGATACTAGGAAATCAATTGTTATTTTTTTGAAACATGAACTGTTTGTGACAGTTATCATGATAGTATTACTGTCATTCTGACATAAACTGTGCATATAGGATAAAAGATGCTACACAAATAACTAGTCTGCTATAGTTAACTGAAGAAAAAATTGTGATGGATAAATTCTCAATCATTGTCTTCTTGTTCACCTTCATTTTCATCTTCTTCACCATCATCATTATATTCTTCTTCTTCCTCTTCTTCTTCTTCTTCTTCTCCATCAACATCTTCCTCCTCCTCCTCCTCTACTACAACCATTACATCGTTTTGATGATCCGATTGCCCTAAATCATTTACCATTGAAACTTTGTCATTCTGAAATACTGTCTCACTTGTTTGGCTGAAGTTTGTCATAGACTCTGTTTTTTTGTCATGATTATTTTGTTGAGTCATATTTAACTTTTCACGGGGAAAATTTACATCATCTAGCTTTGTTGTCATTTCTGAGTGTGTGGGCAGTGGTAGTATCCCTGCTTCTGGTCTATCTCCGGAAGTAATTGCAAAATTATTAAATAACAAATGTGATTCATTTTGGTGGTCATGACGATTTTGATAATGTGAGCGATTGTCTAAATCAAAATTCATATGAGACCATTGTAGAAGTGACTGATGATTGTCATTCTCCGAATAAACTGTAGCATGTTTCTGGTGTGAATATTCTTGTTGTTTGTGCAATTCAGTTGCCCATAAGTCGTACGAAGGTTGAGACGCATCTGTAGAAAGCGCAGACTTCAAACTCTGTTGATTTTGACTATCGAAATAACGTTCTATACCATTTGTTGAATGAGTTGACACAATATCAGATTTCAACAAAGAATTTTGTTTATTATCATGAATATTACCATCATTAGTAACTACACTAATACCAATAACCTCTTGATGGTGATTACTGTCAGTATTACATCGGCGTATACGTTTATGTGCAAGATCATCATGTTCTCTATAGGGAATTCTCATTGCATACTCATTGTGAAAGTATTCACTCATTTTATGTTTTGAATCATTGACATAATTAACGTTAGTTTTGTTTGATAATTGTGACGATGGAGGTGGTGTAGTAGTCAGTAAATGATTCGTTTTTGTTTGTTGGTGCTGATTAACGATATCTTCATATACTAGAGGATCATTTAATAGACAATATTCGCGACATTCAATTTCACTAATATTTTAAAAAAAGGAAAGTTTAGATGAATTTATTAGTGTAAATACATATAGTGAATTATTATATCTTTAGTTGAAGCTAGACATTAATACCATTGGATGGCAGCTCAGTAGTCTAGATGTTAAGCGTTTGTGCACGAGACCGATAGGTCCTGGGTTCGAATCATCTATCTGAGGTACAAATATATTCCACCATCTCAAAATAAAAATATTGGTTGTCATTGATAAGTAGAATTAGTCGTCTAATCACAAAATGTAAAGAGGATTCAATGTCTTTTACACCATATATTAGAATATATTGCCGGTCCATATTCTTGACCTATCTGTTTATTAAACCACTGAGTTGGAGTGCTGGATAGTTTTTAAATTCAAATTTTGATATATTCCTAAAATCATTATCTTATCAATTTGTCAATAATCAATTCCTAAATCAAATGCTGAACTGCGTCCATTCTATCTAGTATATTTAATACATTTCAGTAGTTCATGATGTAGTTAAGTATTAGCTACCATTTATCAAATAGCCCATTTCACTTTTGAATAATACCATTGACAATGTACACTAGATGTCTTGAATTTAACCCGTCGAAAAATTGCTGATGATTAATTTGCAAACCCTGGGGAACCATTACTATAGTTATCGTATTTGTTGCCATCTAAAGATAACCATCGAGTGTTACCTGGCTTCTTGATCATGTCATTGATTTCAATTACCACTAGAGGCAACAGGACAACATAGGTCTCCGTTTTTCATTTCATCTGATCGCACTTGGTCATTTTAATAATTAGACGGTATATTTACTTTGGCAGTGAACCATATGATTTGAAACCACAGTAAATGACAAATTTTTTTTATTTTAAGTCTACCTTACAGCTAAAGGTACTAGTCAGCATGAAAGTAGGTCTGTCGGCCTGTTCTAGTTTCTCCGGAGCATATAATAGTTCACATATAGTAAGAATTCACCATATAACTTCACTTATAATTTGAATTTAAATCAGCGTCAAAATGTTTATGGATAATATGTATTCAAAAACTAAAATCCCGAGTTATCTTAAACTGTAATTTCTTGCCTTATTTCAGAGCCTACTAATAAGTATATCATGGAAATATCACATGAGATGCTAATATAAGCATTCAACTGTTTCCTTTCCACGTCTACTACTAACAGCATTATTAGTACACCTGTTAATTTCAGTTTATCTCCGTTTAGTATATCTCATTCTATTTTTCCTAAAGGTCAAGATTGTTTATTCTAAACCCCATAGATTTGAACTAGTCACTGACATAGTCATTAGGAAATTAACAAATTGAGCGGAAACAGACAGACAACTGAAATTATCTCAATACAAACAAAAAGAAACACTTACGACAGAAGATAATTCACGCTGACAATACAGTTTGGTCTTGAGGATCTACTGTTGTGAATTATGGTTGCATACGATTGTATCCACACCCAACCTCCGGATTTATTCAGCAGACGATAATATGGCGTTGTAACTTGACCTTTATTTAAAACTGTAATTAAATGCAAAAGTATTCATATGAAAGATCAGTGTCCCAATTAAGAATTAGTGATATGCGAGAGAGAGTTTCAAATCGAAAACAAAAATTTCTTTGACCTATTCGCTTTCTTATTACATGTCTGAGTGGAAATTTTAACTAAGAAAAAATGTAACTTCCAATCAACTTGTAAGACAAGAACTTGTTCCTTTTAAATACTGAATACTGACTGCGAATATTGTGTGACTTTTTTCAAAACTGGAAATACTGTATATAACCGAAGTTTTTATTCTTTACACTGTAGTCATCAAAAAACTAATCAACAATTTTAACTTACGTATTTCATGAGAATGTCTTAAGGATCCAACATCTGCTGTGTGTACCAACTGATAAAGTGTTTTATCCACCAGTTCTTGTGGTTGAAAACCGGTTATTTGAGAAATTCTTCATCCGACAAAAGAGAAAAGATGGTAAAGAATAATAATAGTAACCTGTGACAATGGAAAATGTGTAATTTAGATCAGTTTACATAGATAAAATATATATTTTTTTTATGTTGTTAAGGCAATGTATTTATGTACACAAAAGTATGCATACAAGACTATTAACAACTAGCGAAGGATGATGCTCAAAACTCAAGTCAAGTATGAATTAACTATAGTATAAGTAGGAAGAGTTGTGAAGTGAATAGTTTTGTTGCTTTTGCGCTGCTGAGGAGTTCCATAATAGAACGGAACGGCTGTCCAGTGCTTCCAGGTTTCCAGTAGTGGTCTAACATCAATCGGTTGATGATCTCAATCAAAAAAATTAATTATCTACATCTACATTTTGTACTTAGTGATGTCTTTTTTCCGTAAGAACTTTTGTAACTAATGGTAAATAATATTTTTGACTACACAGTGATCGACATTCAGTTTACGTAGAACTGTCGTTTACGTAGAATTACTAAGTAATCTGCCAATAACTAAACGTTTAACTCAAGTCCTATGGATTTAATGGAATATTTCGTTTCATTTGTAACATGCATGTGGAAAGTGACTGTATACAAATTAAGCGATTTAAAATGGCTGTTAAAACAACAACAGCAGATAACGATGATGAGACTATTCATGAATCAGTATCATTCAGATCACTGTAAGTATTAGCTGTCCATATAGTTTCAAAGGCCTATTTTGGTCAGTTTAATGAAGTGATCCTCTGACATGTTTTTCTTTTAATGTCTTTATCAAACAAAGACTACACAGCCAAGCAATTTTCACCCAGTTAATTCTGCACTATGAGTGAGTCACTTTAATTGTTGACCATATTTCCAATTGAATAATCTGCAGGCTTTGATAATCAAAGTATAATATAACCTAATACTGTTCATTAAGTACTTACCAATTATTGGTTATTTTAAAGTGTCAAGAAATAGGATAGAAAATTAAAAATAGTTACTAATTTTACACTTGTTCTTTACTTACCTGCCTTCCAAAAAGATTAATTTTAAATCTAAACTGGCACGAAACATGAACATATCCATACTTAAACGTATTTCTGTATTATTTGTATTCGGTGAAGGAATTGCATAGGCGAATGATATTAAGCCTAAATTTTGATAATACTGATATCCATCAAGGTGAATAACACGAACACGTAAATGTCCATTACAGTGTATTACCTAATAATTAATAAACAGAACGCAAAATGATAATACTAATATTGAAATGTTCTAAGAAAAAAAAAGTAAAGGAGATTAAAGTCTTTAAATTATACTCTGGTGATACCATTAAAATCTAGAGGGCAATAGTTAGTTGTTTCGTTCTTTTTTTTGGCGGGGGGGGGGGACTTTTCAGAAGTATCCACCAATGACAGTTTCGGAGATTTTACCAAGAATCAATAGGTTTTATTACCGGTTAGACGATTTTATATACTTCAGTTGGAATCTGTTTCCTATATTACTGATAAATCTGATGTTGGAAATAAAACACCTATCCAATATTCCTTGGCTTTTAATACTCTTTAGTTGATATCGATTTAATGGCTAAAACTAGGTTCAAATATTTACCAGCACAAAATTAAATTGAGATGGTGGAGAAAATTTGTAGCTCAGGTGGATGATTTTGATGGAGTTGTGTTCTCTGAGCTGGATGGTTTGGTCGTGAACAAGTTGTGAAACGCATATGGAGAAATTCGAACACTTCACTTCTATTTGAAGTTTGTGCTGATGATGTCGTTCAGAAGAACGATGAAAGCTCCACGACCAAACCATCCAGCTCAGAGAACAAAACTCCATCAAAACAAAATTAAATTACCGACTAATAAACCGAAAGGAATGTACAAAATAATTAAATTGACACCAATGAATTAGCAATAAAAGTAAATTATTAATAGTTTGAAGTAAAAAGAGAATAAATTATTTTCATGATACAATTTCTAGAAATTTTCAGGGGATCTAAAAGTCATTCATGGATACTACTTATAAACACTATTGTTGCATTATTATATCATAATGAATATAAAATTTTATCGTTGTTAAACAAATCGGTTCACTTAGTATCCTTAAAACGTTCACTCATCAACCAAACCATTTTAAACTGAGGAACTTTAGAAATAAAAATTATCATTACTTTCAGTTAATTATTTAACATATATCCCTTTTTTTCTGTTTGGGTTTAAATTCAGTTGTTTCATAGCTACTTTCAAGTGAATATTGAATAACTGGGTGTTTTTTTTCTTTTTTTTTAAGAACTCAGTGTACTATTCTACCCAAACCATTGTGTGTATACATCAGTGGTCTAGTTGGTTAAGTGCCTGGCGCGAAACTGCTAGGTCCTGGGTTCGAATCCCGCGGGGTGCGGGATCGTGGATGCGCACTGCTTAGGAGTCCCATACTAGGACGAAACGGCCGTCCAGTGCTTCCAGGTTTTCCATGGTGGTCTAGCTTCAATGGATTCATGATTTCAACTATTGAAAAAAAAGAGGCTAAATTTGAAAAGTAATTTTTTTTTGGAAATCCACTAGTTGTTTATAAATTGTCGTTAGTCTACACACAGCACAACCTATTTTTATCCTCATCTATTTGCATATGAATAGTTTATTATTATTTTGTTTTCATACGATTGACTAATCTTGACTTACTAAAACTATCCACTTCCTTAAAACTAGTTGAAATATAAAACCAAATGAAGAGTAATCATTTGTACAAGAACTTACTTTAAAACCAGCTGTAGTTAATCCAGCATTCCTTTTAGCTAAGACACACTTTACACGTAAGAAGAAGCTGCGTTCAAGTGTGAACTCTAGATGTGATGAAATAAATAAATACGAATCACAATTTAGTTATCATACCAATGAGGATTTTAAATAAACGGGAATTTTTTTATTGTTAGTAATAATGATCATAATACGATATCGCTTTTAGTTACGGTATTGGGTTATATGGGTTTGAATCCTTACAGTATTGAGCACTATACCCTTGAAAGTTATAGATACCCTTTGTTGATTCGTATCAACCACATAGAACCCTAATGTAGGTTTCCTTGTAAACTATCTGTAACGATTTTGTACAGAAATATACAGACCTATAATATCGAATCCCTTAACCTAAAATTCACATGAAGAACTTGATGAATTATGTAAGATAACCAGTGTTGACTTTAATTCGACAATGAGTTTGTATGATGTTATCCAATCAGTTAAGTGTGCAATACTGCTATGAAGAGAGGGAAAAAATCAATAGAAGGTTCATGTATCTTTTTTTTTTTTTTGACTCATCATCTTTCCGTGAAAAAAAAAGTGCTGTAATTCATTATACATAGTTATTTAAATGTAACTGAAACTTCCCAGTTCCAATCAAAAGTTAATTGATAATCACAAAGTAACATCAATTTTCTCTAGGAATACAAGATATGAAATTTAGTATCATTAATATTATAAGTGACTATCTATAACTTTTTAATCTTATCGGTTAATTTCAAGACTTCTGTAAATTTTTCTTTTTTTTTTTCTAATCTAAATAACCTTTTAATTGTATACAAATTAACCTCTCTTACATTAACTATTAAATGATAATCTACTTCAAAGCAAAAGATCTATGTCAATTCAAATTAGTATTTAGTTTTAACCATATATTAGTTAGTCATTTATTAATAGATATTAGCTTAACTGGTGATAATATTCATTTTACAAGTCAATTGTCATATTGACTAAAAACCGTAATAACAAGATATAAATAACAAAATAACATTTCATACTGAAAGTCACGTAGGATTACACTTGAAAGAATGAAGAGAGAAAGAGAGACGGAATAATAAAAATGAGATTAGCTAAATAGGAAGAGTGAGGAAATATATTAAAGAAGTTTTCTTGTTTTGAATGTTTACCTATTTCTTTACACTTATATATATATATGTACATATATAGTTTTCGTTTGATCGAAGGAACAATAACAACAATAACATCTATTCATACTCTCAAATTCTACCTATCTATCTATCTATCTATCTATCTATCTATCTATCTATCTATCTATCTATCTATCTATCTATCTATCTATCTATCTATCTATCTATCTATCTATCTATCTGTCTATCTGAATTCTCCGATTTTCTCATTCAATTTTAGCGAATAAATCTATTTTTCAAAATGATTTTTAACCATTTATTTTTCTACCGAAAAATAAAAAAAAAAAAGAAGAAAACATTGCTGATTAATTATTCGTATCGGATAAAAATGAAGAGATAAAAAAAAAAGGCAAGAAAACAATAACAACAACAAAACTATATAGATATATTACACATTTCAAAAGCATTTGAGAATAGTAGCACTTATCATTGGCGGTGACCATAATGAGAGTGGTGGTAGTGGTGAAAATTATCTATAGTTCATGATTAACTTACAACATGAAAGTGAACATATTAAGGAAAGATTAAGAATGAATTATAAATTGTGTCTACATTGAATAATTTAGATACTGTGAATCCAGCTGTGTAAATATATATTAAACCATTTGTTCAACTTATTATGTGTTTATATAAAGATGTAATAACTTGCAATAATAATGATAAACAGAGAGGGGACACAACGTTAAAGATACATATAGAAAGAGGAATGGTTGTAAAGATAACATAGTAAAAAGAAGAAAACAATGAGTGAAGAAGAGAGATGGTCGTTTATTTCAAAACAAAAACAGAAGCCATTTATAGAAAGGAAATTTCTCTGTGCAACAATTTATCAATATTCACCTATCTGCTTACATGTGTTTGTGTGTATGATTGTATATTTGTTTCTCTATACAAATGTATGTATTAAAATGAACAAACTGTAGAAGAAAATTACACACAGGTAGATTCAGATAAACAAAAATTTTTGCTGAAGTATCAATGAACATTAGCGTAACTGATTCAATGTGAGGTTTATCTTCACTTGTCAAAACAAAACTATAATGAAAACTACCATTGAACATCATTAAGTCATCATTGAGGTTATTATTAGTATTATTATCATTAAATTTACAGGAAATTAATTTTGGAAAAAAAAAAATAGATCAAGTCATTAAATTAATTTTTCTCATTCACAATGATGTGCGGAAAAACAAACAAATGTTTCAATGTTCAACATAATGTACAAATTTGTTTAAATATTCGTGGGAACAATGGGATAAGTTATACTGAAATGAAATTGTTATCATGTAAGGACTAGTTGCTTTAAACTTTAAACTCAACCCTATATCAGTTGAGGAGGTTTGGATTCACTTGTGAATCAATCCAAAGGTATTTTTTATAACTTAGTTAAAATATTGATAAAATATAAGTATGAGATTATAAACTAAATGGAATAAATTGAAATGAATATGTACCAATGTTATTGTTGGCTGAATGAAATAAATGTACGCAGTTTAGAAACATATTATTAACTTATTGTTAAGTGATTTACTATTTGGTGTTTAGGCTTCACCTACCTCCCTTCAGTCTTGTATTTATTGTTCGTATCTGTCACAAAGACTGAATAGGTGGACGATTCAAGTGTAACTATCTTTATGGGGATTAATATTCTTTTTACTTCTCAAAAGCTTTACTCACATCATTGTCAGTTACAGTGGGAACATATTCAACACAATTTTGCAAAGCATCAATCTGAAATTGTATTTCCACTGTCATTGGAAACTTCGTTTAAATACATAACTCTAGAAAACAGTAGTATGATGGGCTAAACGTTTTACCTGAGGTATACGAAATTTATCAGATGCTAAAAGGAATGATGCTACAATATCTAACACGTATTAAAATCGTTCATTCTTTTGGAGAAGCTCACTCTTAACCATACTTAAAACCTTTGAAAGAAACGTTCTTTTTCCTGTTTAGTTTTGCTTATAAAGAATCAATTATCTGTTTAACATTATCCCAAGATTACCTTGAAATTAGTTAGCCATGATAGTATCGAGAGTACTTTTTAACATTACTGATAATCATATCAATAGTGAGCATATTAATGTGATTGATTTGAATGTGGCAACATTTCTTCAACACTAATTTACCTAAAAATACACCTGAGCCACCTTTACAACAATTCTTACTATACTGTATGAATAATAAAGTCCATTACCTAATTACTGAATCTAGTCATTGTTATTACTATCCAAAACTGTATACATTCATTATATTTATAATAAACACCTGAGTACTGTGCACTTACCTGACTGACCAGAATTAGCAGCTATTTCTGACGGATGCACAGTAAGTATCTGTTTCAGTTCATCATGATCCAATGGATGCAAATATTCAGTCATTTCATTTCCAGTCATTTCAACCTTTGAATATATTAATAAATGAATATGTCCATTATTGTGTATTAAAAGATTGCAAAAATATATAAGTAAATTGGGAGATAGATTTTCAGTAACTACTAACTGAGTACAAGTCGATAGCTTAGATTAACTCAGTCTATACGGGGAGGGTTACCAAAAGAATTATGAAGATGACTTTTCAATGTGTACATATTTGATCAGTTAAACAACTAATCTATTTGAACCCAGAACGAATCATTTTTAAATAGGATCATCTAATATTCAATAAGTAAAAAATGAATATATAAATACATTCATGATCCATATTTTCATACTTGATAGGCATCATTTCAATGACTAGTTGAATCCGAAAAGTACTAAACCTACTTTTTATTCTAATTCCGTACTCTTTATGAATAATTATTGAATATCATGTGGATTAAACTAAGAAATCGCAGGTTTCCCTATGGTCCTGCTTCAGTTAACTCATCGTAAAGAACTTTTCAATCAGCTATGTGTGCTTATTTAAAAAAATTAGGTTATTACATTTAGTTTTAATTTGGATATTAAGCGGATGAGGAAAACATAACTTAACATCATAATTATACTGAATAAGTACTAGTAAAAGTCCATGTTTACATGAAAAAGAATACCAGCATTTTCAAAGAGAATCATTACGTCTTTTTCTATTTGTCAACAATACTAACTAGAAAAACAAAACATTTCAATTATTAGGAAATCTTTCTAGAGTATAGTGTATAAATGCTTCCTTTGACAAATTAAGAGTAATATAAGAAATCAGTGGATTTTATTGTCTCAAATGTCTAGTGTTTTCAGAGACAGAAGATATCAGTTTTAAGTTACAATTAATATTGACTTAAAATTACCTGAGACAAACCCAATAGAACAGAAGCTGTTTCCGATATGTACAGAATTCTCCCTTCTAGCGAAACAATAAAAATGAAACCATCCATTGACTAGAGAGAAAAAACATTTTAAAAAAAACAAACAAACAATTGTTTTTAAGTGAGCAGACTACAAATAAACATGATAAAACTATTGGGATTCAAACAGTTTAAAAACATCTCTGACTACACTCTTCAACATCTTCATTTCTTGTTGTTAATTCTTAGCTTTAAATACCTAGATATGATTGGTATAAACATAAAAAGATCTTTTGGATCAATATGGCTGATTGTTACACAAGTCCTCTAATTATATAAATATGCATCTCATATATTAAAGGTTGCCAGTTTGAGTTCAGTTAAGATTTTATATACATAGCTGAAAATTACATTGACTTGTAGATTAAAGACTTTATCAATACTCATCTATCCATTGATCTATTGTTCCGGTTAAACAAGGAGTATACAGATTGTATCCAAGAGACCATGGTAGAATATTTCGCTTAAAGTTTATATGAAACAAGGCAGAAACGAAAATTATAATACTCAAGTAAATGGTAAAATTATTGTTGTTTTTATTTGACCAACTCCAAAAATGAATTACAACAATAACCTTTTATCTAATATCAAACCATAAAAGTATATTCTCCTTTAAATCGTAATAATTCTTTCTTATTTTTTTTTTTTTTGATGGCAATTTTAAATTGTGCTCACCTTAAATATGTTCGGAGCCAATTCTCTCTCTATTACGTGGTTTGATAGTGTATGAGAATAATTCCAGTTATCACCAAAGCCTACAAATTGAAATATAATAAACTACATGAATATATTGAAACAGTGAAGTAAAACAGTAATTAGTTAAATTGTACAAGTTGAAAATTGCTTACATATTACTTAAATGCATGAATAGATTACGTTACCGACATTATTTCGTTAATTGTAATGATTTTTAATTTACTGGACTAAAAATTGACTTATCTTTTTCAGGGTCAAGTATCAGACATCTAATAGTAAATCGATTGTGCCAATTGTATCTATCATAGTATAAATGTATATATGGATACTGTTTCCACCAATCGTATGAAATTATTTAAATAACCTCCGAAACTAGAAATAACCAAGTATCAACTTTTTGAAGAGACTACTGAATAATCTTTTCAGTTTATAAGTATTTGTGAACAATTTTTTTAATGAATTACTAAGACAGTTATGATTTATTTCATTTTGAAGTTAATAGTTTACAACAAATTTATAATAAAAAAAAAATTGCAGACGTTAATGACGAGGGTTTGGGTATGATTTCCGAAACAAGAATTAATCCACTTAAGAGCCTAACTATTTAATGTCAAGTCACTCATCTAGATCTAGGTTATTCTAGATTTTCCTCTGTATATTTCTCCGTGGCAGCTTCATTCTGTTGATTGTTGATCAATACAAACACTAGTGTTTTCGATATAACTATTCAGTTCCAGGATGCATGTACGAGGATTTAAAAATCTTCAGCTTACTTTTAGGATAATGTCCAATATACTAGCTTCAGGATAATGTGAAAGCAGGATCAGATAGTTAGTAGTTTGCAGTTTTATTACATTTTTTATTCGTTGTCTTCAGTCTTATTTACTGCTCTCATCATAGTTCAATAAAGCATCGTTCACAAAATTTTACTGACGTAAAAGAAAGGCGGAAAAACTGCGTTTCTACTCAGTAATTAAGTGATTATATTGTAAGCAATTCATTTATGCTTATTACTTCAAGTAGGTCAACGATAAGGTGAACACATATACCGCCAAATTAATTACACTTTGACTTTGGTAATAAACACATTTTACTATCTGGAATTCCCATTAAATAAAATTATTATTTTATTGCTACTTCAGTTGTCATTAATCAAATGTGCCATTCTTTTTTACTAGGTTACCAGCAAAATATTACTTCAATGAGTATAGGGTGTACTGCAGATGATACTACTACTACTACTACTACTACTACTACTAATAATAATAATAATAATAAAAATAATAATAATAATAATATAACCCTAAAGCATTTGATTGATTTTATGGTATGTCATCAATATATACGTTTATATTCAATTTATTACACATTCGTTTTGAGAGTATGACCCATCGGATTAAGTCTCTTTAAATGTTCAGTCTACATTATGAAACATATTGTCAGTCGGCTGGTCATATTTCACACAATGTAAACAATGTACCCATGTATAAAATCGTAAATTTTAGTTTATCAGTTAGTTAACAAAGAAATTACACCCTTTCATCAGATGAAACGAGTTCAATGAATCTCTTTGTACATATAAAATGAGACTGTTATTTCTTTTAACTGAAAATTAAAATAAAACCTCATTAATTCCTTTTGCAGTATCTTATGTTTGTACAATAAGACAATGCATAGTTCTAAACGAGATTATAGTGTACAATTTTGATCCCCCCATACATTTCATAAAAAACAAACGAAGTTATTATTGTCCATTACTTTTGATTTATTGCCTGTTTATTTAAAATACTAATCCTATCGGTATCGAGGTGGATCAAACCTAGTTGTCACTCAATATATATTCCCTTTTGTCTTGTATACATAAATTTACTTCATAATACTAAATTGAAACATAGTTGTCTATTGGATTGTAGGAGGCAACTTTTAAATAATCAACAATATAACTGGATGTCTGAGCATTTCATTTGGACAGTTTGTAAATGTAAGAGATATCAGTTTCAGTGAATCGTCTAACTACAAATACTTTCACATTTCGTTTTCAGATACAATTTGGATTAACTATTTCAAATCACCTGAGTAATTAGTATTAATTTATAATGAAAGCAAATTTGATCCATAAATAATTTGAAATTTAAAAATATCCAAAAAGTTACTTTGGTGTAGGACTAAATGAGTAACAATGTAGTTTAAATCATGAAATAAATTTAAGTCGATAACCATTATAAACCGAAGAACATTAGACAACTGTTTTATTCTAGATATGAACTCTTCAAAACTATAAACCCACACCCGTAATATTGAATTAAACCAGGGACCTTCAAGTGTCTCGAATAGTATAATCCCATGCTACAGTTACGAAGAATTTCAATGGTCTACATTTTACATTTATTCTTTACATACCTTAAACATCATGGGTTTGATTCCAACTGAAGTCTTGGGTAAACAACACTGTGTCTTAAATTCAAACAAATCCGACATCATAATCATTTGTTTTCTTATATTTTTTCCAGTTGATGTTAATCCATGATTATAATAATAACAATAAAAACTATCTCTAACATTAAACATTTCTTATATATCTCCTCATCATTTAATTAGTTTTATTTAATCATCCAGTCTGTGTGAAGTTTGCTGTTCCAGTTCCAATATTCAAATGATCCTCATCATATTAATCGATGTTTTAATATAATTTTAAAAAAATAAAAATAAATTAAACCATCGTAATAGAACAAATCAGTTATGGTGTTACTATAGTGGAAAATAATGAAGTTATCATATATTAGTTTATAGTTCATCTCATGACTATTGGATCTATACTTATCGTACACGATAACTTTTCAGGATTACAAATACATTGTATTTAATACAAACGGTTATCATCTAAGTGTTCATTTCATTCGTTGTTCAATTTCATTGTTTAGTTCTAAATATTATTTATTTACATATTACAATAAATGAATTAATTAATTCATAGTAAGCTTTTCATTTATAGATGCGTTTTTCGTTATGAACAATAAACTGTTTAGGCATAACGCAAATATTTTCTAAATACATACTACGTGTATAAATAATCCTAAGAACGTGCTTATTTTCTCATTTTTCTCCTATCGGTTTCTCTCTCTTTCTCTCTCTGTCCCTCTCTCTCTCTCTCTCGCATGCATGCACGCACATACACACACACACAGAGAGAGAGAGAGAAGAGTACTGTGGTCAGTCCACTTAACTAGCCATTGTAAACATAAACTCACTAATAAAAAGTAATAATAATTTTATCATCATTATAATTATAGTGATTATTCTTATTGTTATTGCATAAAAACTCCGATGTGGACTGAAAAGAGGACGAAATAAATTTATTCACTTTGACTAAGAGAATAATTCAACTGTGTCATTATTATTACATACATATATGTACATATGTTTGTATGCGTAGCTAGTAACCAATTCAAGTAATATACTCACGTATTATTGAATAGAAAAGATATAGGCGAGAGAACATAATCAACAAAAGTAGATAATTCTATTTAATGGAGATATGTTATATATTTTGTCGCCCGGTCTACGTATATCAGTTTCAACCCTCTCCCCTTCTGCTTTGCTTATCAATGCTACTCACTAAACCATCTTAACCATAATGAAAAAAAAAAAATAATAAATTGAAACAAATGATGTCATAATTAGTTGAAAATATAACATGATAACGTTGAGTTTTTGATAATTTTTAGCTTAGGCTTATAAACTTCAATAATTTACACTTGTTGCTGTGAGATCTCGACTTTCAATATTATATATATATATGCACATAAGCAAACGTGCTCAAACAGCTAGAAAAAATAGAAAAACATGCTTTATCTCAATTCATGTAGTCGAATTGCTCAACAATGAAACCATAACCAATAACTATTTATTGTACCATAGATACACGAAGTTTGGTTCAAATCTATGATCAAATTAGTTAAATATATGGTTATCAATGAAATACACAATAGTTGGTGAATTGATTAGTAATAAAATTTTTAGACCACTTAACAATAACACCAAAAAAAATCTTTTCTCTACAATTATCATATTTCTTAATTATGACTTTCAACTGAATATTTCATATATTTTGTTATGCTGATATTTATTGAGAAATGGACTACTCATATAAAAGATGTATGTAACTGCAGTTCACATAATTAAATTATCAAATTTAAGAGTACATATAGAATAACCTCTAGTGTGTTCAAGTTTGTGTTATTGAATATTGAGACACCACCCTAGAGGATGGCTGTACTTGTCGATTACTTCATAATTTGCTCTCACAATAATGACACAAGTACATGTCAATAATTGAAATTGAAGCTAGACCACTATGGGAAACCTGGGAGCACTGGACGGCTGTTTCGTTCTATTATGGCACTCCTCAGCCCCCTGCGAGATTCGAACACAGGACCTACTGGTTTCGCTAGCGATCACTTAAACACTAGACCACTGAGATGGCCGGCATCCAACGGTGTTAATGTCTAACTTCAACTAATCCACGAAATTCAGCGACACATCCACCATTGTCTTCAGTGAGTTTCTATCTCACAACATACCTGGTTGAATTCCACTGGTCACTACTTCTCACTGGAACTGCAGGATATACCTGTTGAAGCCAGTCACTAGTGAGCAGATGATTATTCTAGAAGGGGTTTTGTGGAGAATTGGTAATTTCAATAGTTGAAATCATGAATCAATTGAAGCTAGATCACATGTACATGTGATGAAAGAAAATTTCTTTTAATATGTTTGTTATTGTTTCATTTATTTTTTTTATAGCAATAATGTTACCCGCTATCTAAATAAGTTTTATTCAATGAGACAATAATAACTAATGAAATACCTACCGTTTGGAAATATAGTTCTGATTTTTAAATAACTTGTTGTTAAACGTATAATAGATGCTTTATCCAGTTGCGATGTAATTGCACTGGGGAGTGGTAAAAGTCTAGCTAATTCATAAAACTCTGTATTTTCTTTTTCACGTCGTGTACGAGCAGCATTTTTTGATTTCTCTTTCATTCTTGGAGATGTAGTCGCTGCTGTATGCGTATAATTGTTAGTGTTCTGTGATTGTTGAACTGGATGGAGTTGTGAATGAAGATGTTGCTGTTGTTTCTGCTGTTGGTGTTGATGTTGTTGAGGTCCTGGGACGGTTGGGACAGTGGAAATATGTGAATAATATTGTGATACAGGGTGTGTATGATGAAATTGTAATGACATCAGAAATTCATTTTCGCAGTGTTCTCGATTTATTTGATTCGTATGATAATTTGTGATTGTTTGATCGTCTACATATTTATTATTAAACTGATTGGAATAAACTGGTAAAATATCGTTATGATTAAGGCTAACATTATTACTATGACTGTTTGTTGTAGTAGCAGTAACATTAACAGTAGTATCGGTCGTGACAGCAGTAGAAATACTAGTAGTAATATTAGTAGTATTGACTACTCTTGATGGGTAATTTGTGTGGAAGTACTGACCTGCCTCAGTAGTATGATTAAAATTATGAATATTAGTAATTAAATTCTCTGAAGGTTTAATTAAATCCGATCGAGAGCCGAAAGCATAATGATTATGTTCATTTAACGAGTACATATTCATTGAATCCATTGGATAAAAGTTAAATGATTTAGTGAAATTTATTGAATCTGCGTAGTTTAGTGTTTTATCGGGAATCGGACAATTTTCAGTTGAATCATTAAATTGATCACATTTATTAGATGAATAATGTTGTGGAGTCATATATTCCGTCTGCATTTAAATATTAGAATAACTGAAAGGTAAATAAAGAAACTTGACGATAGGCTGTAGTTCATAATAATATGAGAGATGAGTGCGAAATCATTGCATCATTCTTATACTGTACTGACAAAAACGTTGTCAAAATGGTGGATTTTTCAGTTACCAATTTGAATTTATATCTTACCGTCCATTTGATTGTTTTCATGTAATAGGAAAGAAATTTGTTGCCAAGTACTCTCATTGAATATGAATTATTCACTGTATTGAGATGATTATGGTACAAAATATCTGTAGTTCAATATATGAAAACTCTAAGTGAGTAATTAAATGAAGTAAGATTATTGTGGATATTTAAAATTGTTATTTTCAGTCATCAAGAGAAGTCATTCAGTTATTTTGTTTAAATGATGTTATGCTAATTTATGTACAAATTCAACTCAGTACAAAAGAAAGAAAAAAAACACACATTTTAATTACGAATTCTTTTAAACAGTCGATTCCTTTAGATGGTCAGTCGTGACAAGAATAGATCAGAGAAAACATATTCAATTTCAGTAGTTAATAAAACCAATTAAAGTTTTGAAAACACCGTGTTTATATTATCTGTTGTAGGTGTGCTTCGCTGATGAATTTTGTTAAGACTAAAATCTAAGTAAACTATACCTTATGGACCGTTCAACTAATAAAACTTTCATAATGTCAGATTCCAGAAGACACTCAATAATTTCTGGTCGTAACCAATGTGTTCAATTTTTTTTTATTACTTATTTCATCTCAAACTAAACTAACCAAGTGAAATCTTCTTTCCTAGCCAGTCACTAGTAAATTGTTCATCGGGAGAGACTTAGAATTTTTAATGTTTATATAAAGCTGACTGAAGTGTAACCGTTTCAGTTTTTTTAAATACCCATAGTATAACTATTAATGGTATGTATAGTAGCATACCATTACTTCTAAAAGAAAAAGCATTAAATTATCAGAGTTGATTATATGACAAATCTATACTACACTGTTCTACTGATTCTTAGATATTTATCTATAAGTAAACACTTAGAATATTGATTTTCTAAATGTACCTGTAACCGGAATAAAAGCATTTGATTACATAATGTTTATATCAATAGAACACAGATAAATTCTCACTTGAATGCTGTGAACTATAGAATATTGAATAAAGACTACGATTTGAAAATTTAACTTAAGTTAAGATTGAGATAAAAATTATAATCTCACTGTAGAACGATTTATATAATGAAGAATAAATAGGGAAATTTAATAGCCAGGCATTAGCAACTTATGATAGGTTGAAACAATATCTCTATGCTTTACAGGTAAGGAAATTGACATAAATTTTCTCATGAGAATATATACTACTTAAAAATAAAGTGAACTTTCAATATTGTGAATGAAGAAAATTGTTGAGAAAAAAAATTTTACGAATGCTTTTAGGATCGTAGCAATCATAACTTGTGATGTTTTCATAACATAAACTAGACTAACATTTACCTTGTTATTTTCTAACTAAACAAATAGTCAAACTAATTAAACCGGCCAGGTTTGTATCGTTGTTGTTGTTGTTGTTGTTCTTCTTCTTCTTCGCATTCTTCTTCTTCTTCCTATTCTTATTATTGCTATTATTATTATTGACATTTCAGCTAATTTTAAAACTGTGAAATATATAATATTATTGTCTACAGTCCAAAAGACTAACATTTATATCAAGATAATTAGCTTTAATGTAATTTGTCACCACCTTTGGTATTTTTCGTGGAGTTATTTTCTATTTAAGTAAAAAGAACTTTTGAAAGTGTCACATTGAGAACTGTATTGATTTAGTGGATTTCAAATTGAACTTTTAAAATGTTTTTCCGAAGTATTATTTTACCTTAACAGAACCTTTTCAAAAAATCAATGGTCTCATTGTTTTTCTGTTATGTATTCTTATTTTTACTATGTACAATAACTTGATCTGATGAAATATTGATTAATATTCTATGTATCAAAAAACGAATAATTTTTACAAAAAGAGGCAACAATAATTCCCGGAGTTAGTGTAAACTGTTTGAAGTTTAAGATATTCTGTTAGATAATATTTCCTCATAATGATCTCGGATCTTAAAGGTACAGTGTGAAGTGATGTTAACTATTTGTAGTTCCAATTTTCAACATACTTCTCGTATTATTCTTCAAATACAATTTCTTCATGAGCCCGGAGATATTATACAAACAATAGTCCCAAAAATTATTCAGTGAATAAAAACAATTTACACTATTCCAATATTATAAATTTGTGTATATCAACCATCTGTAAACTGTTATTATACTTCTGTGAATAAACACTATACATCACCTATTAAAATAACGAAACATCAGAGCAATTTAAAAGTTATCTATATTTAAAAGATTGGAACACCATAGATGATCATTCTTGTATGTTATAAATGGGTATTGTTAGAGTACCGAATTGGTAAAAAAAAAAGTTTATTCGCATCAAATTTCCTAACAGAACTTTGACTGAAACATAATTTCAATTTTTCAACGGTGTCAGTTATTTCTTTAAATTAATTATTTGAGAAAATAAAGAATTACTATTCTCATTAGTTACTGGTGAATTTCACAGTGAGACATAAAGAGTAACTATTAATGATATTGAATATCTAATATACATTGATTTCATACACACACACACACACAAAACAAGCATTTGCTTTACAAGAGTGGAAAAATTCCAGGTTATACTTTTTATTCAATTTTCACCCTGACATTTAATTTGAAATCCGGCACCTTTATGTGGGTGGGGATTTAATTAAATGTGAAATATACAATATGTAACGAACATGCGCTACTGATTGTGCACGTGTCTGCATTCATTCTTTTGAGCAGAAGAGTAAGTAAACCTTCACTATTGCTTAAGTGTATGTATGCCTCTATGTTACTGCCTGTGTTTATATCGGGTTACTGGACTATGTGATTTTTTGTATTTATAATGTATATAAATGCCTTTATTTTTCTTATAAAAGTCAAAACATTACTATGCATTGAAGATTATATGACGTTTTCGATACTATCAAATATGCTGTAAACTAGTGAAGACTGGTAATTCGGAATCGGCTAAGTTCTCTGGAGAAGTTGTGATTGGTGTTATATTGGATCCTATCAACAAGGAAACAAATGTCATTGATAAAACAAGGTGATTTTATCTCAATGTCGTTCACACTTTGGCCAAAGAGTGACATGGAAAAAGGCTGAAAATATTTCATTATTGTGGATAGCATAATAACTCTGATGACGATTACATTTGTAATTAGATAACTCTTATCACTAAATAATCTGTTTATAATCGGAATATGTGTGAAATAGTGAATAAACTTGGATTGAAAGAGGAGGTGGAGCGGAAGTCTCAGACAACTAACCAAATAAAAACTCTTTACTAGTTTAGTTTTGTAGCTTAGCGAAACACTAGAATGGTAACTCAAAAGTTATCATTTATAAGTCTTGGCTAGTTATTGGTCATGTATGCTTATGTACACAAGTTATCATTCCCTTTATGACAAACTAACTAACTTGAACCTTGTAATAATGATACCTTTCCACAGACTTGACTCAAACAATGAAAGAAAGCAATTATGATAAACTTATCGTTTAATTACAGTAACATTATAAGGTTTTGGATTAGTTTACAATCCTAATCCAAATCCTAATTAAGCGCGTAAATTAAACAGTTAAATAACCAAAAAATCAGTACACGAATGATAATAATAATAACAATAATAATAATAAAAATAATAATAATAGAAATCCACTTTCAATTCTATGATGTTTTACTTACATTTAATTCAGGTTCGTCTCTTTGTTAATATTCAATAAACTTGTTATAACAATGATGTCAGTATTGAAAATAATTAAGAATTCAATACTGATATTTGATTCCAGTAAAAGCCTGAACGATAAGGTTTATTTTACTAGATATTTTGAGTGAGAATGCGCTAAATGATTGATTCCGTAAATTCCGTTAAACTTTTATGCACACAGTCCAAAAGTAGTAGTAGTAATGATAATTACAACAATTTATAAGTGATAATGACTATCTACTTTGAAAGTTTTATTCAACCTTTTTATATAATTGAACGTTATCTATAATTCATTTGATTTTCGATAAAATTTAACAACACCCACCCCCATCCGACTTTATTTTTACGAGTGTAATAATCATTTATCTTTTTATCTTCTACCCCGTTCATTTCGCTCTACTAAACTTTGTAACAGATATGCTGGTTTCTAATTGGTTAATTTTAAGTTTTATTTCTTAAACCAATCAAATTCACATATTTTTATGTTAACTAGAGATCTACATTGGCTAGAAAAAGCGGCATAACTTGGCATTAATTTATGAACAGAAATAGATTTCCAGATATTTTTCCAGGTGTGTATTTTACTTTCTCTCACACCATACCTAATCACAGGTTTAAGGATTATTGAAAATTCACCTTATTTTTAATATTGTAAAATGGAAGCGGTTGTCTACTACATTGACTATTATTATGTTATATTATTATCACTGTTAAAAGACATGTGTAGTTGAAGTTGTCTACATCTATCAACCAGAACTTAGTTTGAGAAATTTTGATACATAGATTATATTCCCTTCTATAATTCTGCAAATATAAAGTTACGGGATTTATGAAGAATATTTTTCACACGATATTAGTTGAAGAATTTTTTGAAAAATAACGGATCATATAAAAATTTTCTCATTGATAGTTTAAGATGTCACAGTATTATTATACAACCATGACACAGTCAGTGGGTATGTTAACTTTAGATCGATGAACTGACTGTCAGCGGTTCATAATCGAAAATCCGGTTCAATCACTGTATAATGTGATGATTATTCAATACAAGTACTATTATCTTTTTTTTTTTTCTGATACAATTGAACTTCATCAGTTACTTCTCGTCAGATAATCAGTAACTCATTTCGATGCCAGTCACTCGAAGACAGATAATCAATATTG